CAGCTGAGTTCTTATGATATATTTCTGCGGCCCGCAGCAGGTGGAAAGGACCCTACCTCGTCATCTTGACCACTCCAATGGCTCTCAAAGAGGATGGCATCTCCACTTGGATCCACCACACCCACGCCTGACCTGTGGTGTCTGCAGCTGAGGAACATCCAGATGGAACCTGAAGAGTGTCCAAACATCCTACTGATCCCTCGAAGTTAAAGCTACACCAAAGACCCTGAGATGAAGCTTGCTCTGCTAATCTGGTGCCTCCTGATTCACCTGCTTGTCCCCCAGGGAGGGGCAAAACCCCAAACTAACCCCCATGCACCTTGGAGCCTGACCTGGACCCTGACCAATCCTGAGACTGGATGAACTTTTAAATTGGCCACTGAGACCCATCCCTTAGGTATTTGGTACCCCCAGTTAACCTTTGATTTATGTACCCTAGCAACGGACTCATGGACATCAGTTGATACTCACCAGGTCTTCCCCAAACACGCCTACCCCACTTGTTGGTATAGTAACTGGTGCATCTGCCCAGGGGGTAAGTGAACTCGCCAGTGCAGGGGGCCTGAGGCATATTATTGTGCTGCTTGGGGTTGTGAAACTAGTGCCTCTAGATGGGGGACTAGCAAACAAGACCTGGTCTCCTTTACTTGTCCCTACTATGGGGAGTCCACAATTGCTATTACCTTTAATGAAGAAGGAAAAAAGTTTGATTGGTTGACAGGCAAAATTTGGGGGCTTCGACTATACCTCCCAGGCAAAGGAGATATGGGGATCCTATTCTCTGTAAGGCTGGTTGCAATGCCCCCTCTGATCGTGGCAATGGGGCCTAATAAGATAATCAATCCTAGCCTAACAGAGAGAAAACCTCTCTCTCCCTCTAATTCCACCACACCCATGGATGCCCCTAACATGTCAGTTACATCTACACCTAAAGCACTGGGTGACTGGAACCATGTCTGAAAGACCCTCGGGGCCCCCAGACCCCCTGTTTACAATCTTGCAACAGTCATTCTTACTCTTGACAGTCCAGACCAGAGCTGACCACCTCCTGTTGGCTGTGCTATAGTGCAAAGCCACCCTATTATGAGGGAGTGGCTGTGTTGCCCCCCAATGACAGCCCTGGGTGGCAGGAACAAAAGGAGGCTATAGGGTCTTGCCGATGGCATTCAGATATTTCCCTGACCCTTGAACAAGTCTCAGGTCAGGGACTATGTATAGGAATGGTGCCCCACCACTTCCTGCCTCTTTGTAATCATACCAAGTCTATTGCCAGCCTAACCGGGTATCCGGTCCCAGCAGATGACACTTGGTGGGCATGCTCCTCTGCGCCCTGCGCCCATGTTACTGTGCTGAACCAAATTGGAGGGGTCTGTGTCCTCATACGCCTAGTTCCCTGAGTGGTTTTTCATGCCGCAGAGGAGCTGTCTAGCCTCAATGAAGCCACTCAGTACGCCCTCAGACAAAAAAGAGCCAGTCACAGCCCTTACCCTTGCTATTTTAATGGGCACTAGCATAGCAGGATTGGGGACAGGGGCGGCTTCCCTCATCACCCAGCAATGCTATTATGCAGACCTCCACATATCAATAGATGAAGATACTCAAAAAATAAAAACCTCCATCACCCACCTACAGGACTCTCTGTCCTCATTAGCTGAAATAGTCCTACAAAACAGGAGGAGACTAGACCTGTTATTCTTGAAGGAAAAGGGACTATGTGCAGCCCTGGGGAAAGAATGTTTTTTTTTTTTTTTTTTTTTTTTTTTTTTT